GTAAAAGCATCAAATTAAACTTATGATGACTAACTGAATGAGAAATGCAAGAATGATGAAATTTAAAACAATATAATATTGAAATTTACAAATATGATTGTAAGGCTTGAAGAGCCAACAACATGTTACTTGCATCCTCTTAGTTTGCACCATACAAGTATCAGTGCGATTGAAATAAATATTATATTGAACTAGGAGTTCAATATCTCAAGATTTTATTATTTGACATAGTTGTTGGACCATTTAAAAAAATGATGCGAAAAATTACTGTAAATTCACATTGACATTCATTGAAGAACCAAAAATTATTCAATCAAACGAATTCTCACATCAAGCTTGCTGTCATGGCAAATAGGTCAATAATTGGTCTTCACTAACTAAAGATGGGCTGAATTTTCTTCATTTTTTCGAAAATTATTAAGGGTGATAATGTGAGCCCACTCATTTTTAACTATAGCAGACCCCCTCGACTCAATACATCAAAATCTTATTATGTATTCCCCCGTCACATTTGACTTGCTAAGCAAGCTCAGAATATAAACTGGATTTTAATTTTTCTTTCTATGAAATATATTGATCTCGCTATGGGGGATATATTACGAGGTATTTTACTATCATTATTTATAAAACAGTTATCCCAACATCGAGGGTGATATTAAATAACTGAAAAAAATAAAAATACGTTGTGATTATTCTCTCTTACAATATGAACCAGAAGTTCAATATGTAAGGATAAAGTAATTGTCAAATGCATTACCAAAATATACCCGTTGTAAATGCTCAAACTTAAATTGATGCTTCACTATTATTGAAGTGAGTAATTCTAAAGCATGCCAAAGCATGTTTCAAAAAACAAAACAAAAAAATAAAGAAAATTTCAAAATAATATTGAGCAAATAATAAAGATGATCCCATTAGAAAATGACACACGTGAAGAGATCATAAGACATAGCTAATGTATTATCCCCAATAGAGGTTTAGGTACCTAAAACTTGTTAAATAAAGAAATCTCAATGAAGTTATGTTACTATATAAAATAAATAGAATCGAAAAGAAATATTAATCAAATTTTTTTGAAGGAGAAATTTTATTTTATGGGTACGGAAAAATGTTTAGACATGTAATTCAAACACTCATGTTAAATCCCTATAGGAGGCATACAATTTTTTTGTTAGAAAATTTCTAAAGAATTTAAAAGCAATGAAAAATATTTTCATGTAATGGATGGCGTCACACTTCAATATTTGAATAAATTGTATGTTATAATGGCTCAACATGTACCTTGTGAATTTAATAATTGCCTATCTGTATGATAGTGACATATAAATGAAAGCTTTTGAGCGAATTAAAGTGCCTAAAGTAAGTGATTCTTTTTCCAAAACTATGTTTTCAATCAAATTGCAAATATTAAGATTAAAGATTCAAACGCATGCGATATAATCATATTAACAAATATTAGTTGAAATTAGGTTATGAAAATAACGATATCTATCTATGTGTTTTCATAAAGAAAAAATATTGAATTTGAAATATTGACGATTTATGTTGATAATTTAAATCTTATTGGGATTCTTGAAAAGCTCGACAAAATTGTAGATTATTTGAAAAATGAATTTTAAATGAAATATTTGGAAAACTGAAATTTGGTCTTTCATTGCATATTAAACATTTACAAAAAGAATTATTTGTTCATCAATTTCATATTAAACATTTACAAGAAGGATTATTTATTCAATTTTCATATACATAAAAGGTCTTAAATCATTTTTATATGGATGAAATGCATCCACGGATACCACTTATGGTTGTTTAATCACTTGATGTGAAGAAATATTCAATTCGTTCACTTAAAAATAGAGAAAATATTACTAATCCCAAAATACCATATCTTAGTACAATCGAAGTATTAACAAATATTGCAAACTATATTCAATCGGACATAGCTTTTATGTAAATCTTCTTGCAATATATAGTTCTATATCAACTCAAACACATTAAAATTGTGTTAAATATGTTTTTTGTTGTGTAAGAAGTACTATTGATTTGAGGTTATTTTATTGTCAAAAATCGGGAACTTTTAGCGAAATATGCAAATGCAAATTATCAGGCCCAGCCTCGAGAATTTAGATACCCTAGATGATTAATTATTATGAGGCCCTTGAATATAATTTTATTACGAGTGTCACAATATTTAAATATATAAAATAACATTCTTACATTAAAACAAAAACTTTATGCAATTCTAATTCATAGTCAATTAATTGGATTATTTTTCTACCATATCGATGAAACAAAGAACCCTGCGTTTATAGTAAATAGACCATCTGAACTATTCATTTGAAAAAAAAAATAACATTTTTATATTAAAACAAGAAAACTTTATGCAATTCTAATTCATAGGTTATTAATTGTATTATTTTTCTACCATATCGATGAAACATAGAACCCTGTGTTTATAGTAAATAGATCATCTGAACCATCATTTGAAAAAAAAAAAAGAAAAAAAAAAGAGCATTCTGAAAACAATTCTGCTTGAAGTACATGGACTATTTCACAGGTTCCCTACCAGGATACACACTTAGGGGGCCCTGTCGTAGTTTTTTTTATAACATGTGGGGCCCGCTACTATAGTGAGAGACCTAGCAATCCCCTGTGAAATTAATCCATGCACTCAAAGATTAATTCTTCTAAAAATAGAGCATATGAAAATTTCAGTGTGAAAGAACACTTACTCTGAATTATGAGCCAAAATTATGAATCAGTGGAGGAAAATAAGCATTATTGGAGTAATAATTAATCAATCTTCTCTCTCCTTTTCATATTTCTACAGAATGATATAAACATAATTTCTCTGTCAAAACTTAGAGATATGCTACACAAACAGGATTGAAACAGGGTTTTTAAATCAGGGGGAGGGGGGGGAGGACGTGTCAAACATCAATTGGATAGTTTAAAAAAAAAGCACCAACCAGCTGCTGACACACAGTCCCTACCCTAACTCTGTCACATACCCCTGTTTGACTAGCAAAATACCAAAACTTATTAGTCATGACCACCGCCTTAGATCTTTTATTCTGCTACTTTTTGTAATTATGTTCTTCCTTTGGTTTGTTAGTAAAGCACTTTTAAGATTTATTGAGATAAAAAGACCAAATTCTAAAAAATAGAGCATATGAACTATTTATTAGGTAGTTTTGCAAAATTCAAAAAATTTACTTGAATAATATATAATTAAATACAAAAAACCCCTAATTCACAGAAAAGAGTAGCAAAGAACAAAAATAAGAACAAGAACCTGAAGCATCGAATATAAATTTAATATATAAAAACTATATTGAAAAAGAAAACCTTAAGATAGAAATTAGAAAGGAACCCTGAAAAAGAAAATTTGTCTAAGGCTTGCCTGATGCTGATAATCACATACGGGCCTTTTTTTTAGGCCCCTTGAAATCTTGAGGCCCAAAGCAGTAGCTTAGCTTGCATTGGGTTATGACCGGCCTTGCAAATTACCTTTCTACTTTACATAAAGCTAAATTGCAATCATGATGTGTACTTACATGTGGTGGAACAATTACATCGTATAAATTTGTGAAGCAAATCTTGATAGCAATATCTTCATATAATTTTAAATTATTGCAATCCATCAAATGAATCAAGAATATGTATGATTGAGGGACATGATCCATTATATTCAAGTATCATGTAAATTAATTTCAACAAAAGATAGTTTAACAATATTGTGTGAAAACGATACATCTTATACCACACAACTCAAATGAGGCACATATCAAAGAGGACGTGACGAAATATATTACTCCAAAAATTTTCCATGCACACAAGCTTGAAAAGAATGATGATATCAATTTTCAAGAAATTCTCTCAAGTTATGCGACTGACTTATTTAAAAAAGCACTCCCAATATTTACATTCAAGAAATTGGTACACTAAATTAGAATTCATCAAGTAAGAGATATTCCGCGATTAACATTAGGGAGAATAGCTATACTCATTTTCCTTTATTTAGATTTTGTCATACTGAATTTTTCTGGCAAGATATTAATGTTGCAACATTCTCTTTATACTTCAAAATTTTAGCAAGTAACTACTTTTCTTTCTTTGTTTGATTTTTTTCCCACTAACCTTTAATTGAACGAGATTTTTAACAATGTATGCCACATAAGGTGATTGTTGCAGTGAGCAACTGCAAATAACATTATTCTTATACAAATGGTAATCAAATAGGAAGTGTAATAAAATTATGAGATAATTATTTAGTTTTATCAAAATACTTAGATAAATCATATATACTCTAGAATGGTATATTTTATTCAAATTATAACTCTTATTTGAATGCTATATATTGATCCATCATCATAATAAAATTATACACAAATTTATTGGTTCATTCTATTCTTCCATTATTTCTTTTTTGTTTCTTAGTTTTATATTTCATCCGTCCTATAAAGATATACTTGCTCTTCTTCTCCTTTTTTATATTCTTAGTTTTTATATTTCTATTTTCTAGGATGGCTCTTCTTCTTCTTTTTGTTTCTTAGTTTTGTATTTCTGGGATTGTTGAGGGTATGTTAAGAACAAGTTATATTTTCAATTTTATTAATTATATTTTTGTAATTTGTAATTCGTGTAAAATGAGAACAAATATATTTTTATGGATTGGGGAGTAACAAAAAAACAAATTTCCAATTTCAGAGGACATAGCTGGAAAGAATAATTGCAGCGGGCCCGTACACATAACTTCGTACGGCACGGACAATCAGCTCTGTGCTGCCAGATGCATGGAGAACGGGTTCTTGTTTGTAATATTTTTTATTTTCACAATTTTTTTAAAACATTTTCTCTTTTTCCAAATTCAAGCCATACCAAAATCTATTGATTTTGAGAATTCCCTTCGAAAATAAGTTTTTTTTTTCCCCAGTTAATTCATAGTTATTCTTCCTAATTTATTTTAAGTACTCCAACATAGAATTAAGAGGATGCACTCAAGAAAATTGAAATTTTGTAACCATTAATTATTATTAATTACTAAAAGCTTGCTAATGCCAACACGTTTAGCCATGGGCGTTCCTTAAATCACAACCATCAGTTTCATTGTTCCAAAAGATAATTTCTCACTTCCTTCTTAATCATCTCTTGCAGCACGGTACTCAATTCAAGGCCAAACGACAACGTTTCACTCTTGTTCTCCTTTTCCGCCACCACCGGCATCGCAAATTCATTCCTAGACCCTGGCAGAGATAGAGTCAACTCGGTCAACGGATCATCTGCATTATCATTTTCCATCACCACCGGCGACGATTCAACTGGCGGAGCGAAAACTGCATTTCCGATAACCGGAATCGGAAAGTAAAAATTCATATTTGTATTTGTATACGCAAGAACATTTTCAATCGAATCGCTGATTTCGGAACCAGACGGACTCAGACTCTCAGGACTCACCGTAAAGCCATTCGTAACCACACCTGTAACATCCACGCTGTTCGCTCTCCTCAAAACCTGCAAGGGTCGCTCGTCTCCATCCACCGACGCGGCGGCGCACTTCCGTTTCAGCCTCGAGTTCCAATGGTTTTTGATCGAGTTATCGGTCCGGCCATTGAGCAGCCTTGCTATCGTCGCCCATTTATTCCCGAACTCTGCCTGTGCCTTGAGAATGATTTCATCCTCCTCCGGCGTGAATGGCCGGTGCTCCACCTCAGGCGACAGCTGGTTGCACCACCGCAAACGGCAAGACTTCCCCGATCTCCCAGGAATCGAACGGCTTATCAACGACCAGCTTCTCACCCCATGCCTCTGCACAAGCTTCTGCAACAGCTCATCCTCCTCCACACTCCATGGTCCTTTGATCTTATTACAACCCTCAATCGCCGTCATTAATACAGGTAAAACCAAACCCTACTAGATAATCTCTAGATCAAAAAAAATTATAATATAAATATTCAAATGTATATAGATTATAAATACATATTTTGAATGTATCGGTGGTGCCGTGGTGGGGAGACGATGAAGCGTGAAGGGGGTATATATAGGATAGGGGGTTAGGGTACCGAAAGAACAGTTTAAAGGAAGGAGCGTTACAAACTTACAATTACCGTTTGTAAAAGGTGGAAACACGCTTAGTAAATTAATAAGAAAATCGCGTTTTCGGTGGGACGTTATTCAACTATTCTGACTCGTACAGTTGGGAAGTGGGGAGGAGCGTTTTGTGTAGGGTTGAAAGGAAAGTTAATATGTTTGAATTCAAATTCGAAAAAAATATGAAATTGCATATTTTCTGACAACACATAATTAGAAACTATTTGAAATGAATTAAATTTTAATTTCAATTTGAATACTCTACCATTATTAACTAATTTCTTTGATTTCAATTGCCGTTGACAGTTAAAGATCCCTGAATATGTAAATTTTCCATATATTAGTAGTTATATTGAACAAATATATGAATGAACGTTAAAAATAAAATAAAAATGTCTGTAGATATTCCCAAGCAACTGACTATTGATTTATTTAGAAAGGTGAAAAATAATATAATATAAAATGACTAAATTTGTCTGAAAAAATGGAAAAAAAAAAAAAAAAACTGTTCAAATAGAGCCACATCGGCCAGAATCTAGATTCGTGAGTGGTTTCAAAGTCAAATATGTAAAAAAAAAAAAACAGACTAAACAGTGTTGTTCATCGAGCTTGGTGCAAAAAATTTAATGTAGTTTCGCATCTTCAAAAAAATGTTACAACTTGATCACTCAACTTCCGTTACAATTTTACTCCACTCGTTTCTTTGACAATAGTTGGTTCAACGGAAAAATCGTACATAATCAGTTCCACTAGCACTAAGCACCAATCTAATTATCTGTTAATACTCTTAAATTACTACACATTTTAAATAAAGAGATAAGTTATATTCAAGAAATTCAATCATTTACTTGATAGCTAGACGGATGTTAAGCGTTAGGGGTAGAATAAAATTATTCTTAAAAATTAAAATTGGTACGTCAAATAATTGTCACAAGAATAAAGCTATTTGTAATTGTACATATGAAAATTATAGAAAACATTACAGATGATGGGTGATAATACTGCATTTACTTGTTTAAATTTATTTTGCAGCCAACGTTCAATTAATACTTGCCAACTAACAATATGTCATAAATTTATAGAAGTAATTTCTCTCCTCGCAAACTCAGAACTCACTCTATCACACATGCCTTACCTAAATTTTTCACCTCTCTAAGAAATAAACGTGTCATGTCAACATTCTTAGTATTAGATAATTTATAGTCGTAGTCTAGTTGAATATTCGTAAAGAAGTAAGGATAAGGACGAAGAACGATGGTTTGACCGTGCCAGGCTGGAGTGCATTTGTATTATTCTTGCATTATGAAGTCGACAGATTTGGTTTATGTAAGAAATTTGGGCCCCACTATATGTATACGGGCAAACTCGTGTACATTCCCCTCGTAAGAGTGGGGTTCGCACTTTTTTTTATTGGAAGTGGATCCTCTCTTATTAGGGGCATGTACACGGGCGTACAAATAGCGAATTTTAAGAAATTTAGATGAAAGGGTGATGTAGATAACACAAGAAATTTAGCATCATTAAAAGTGAAATTGGGAGAAAATAATATTTTGAATAGTGAGTTTTTGGAAAATGTTTTGATAAAAAAATGAATTTATATGCAAAATATTTTACCGGGTGAATATATAATTAAAAATGATATGAGAAATAAAAAAATTTCAAACAATGACTTATATTTGCAGCAAGCCAGCAAAGGACGAGTTAGTAATACCTATCAATATTTTTATTTTATTTTTGAGGAAATTACACCTAGCCGGCTAGCCCTACTTTTTAACTTATTACTTCAAAAATCAAATTTTAATTTAATTTTTTCAAATATCAAGTATATCCTGTCCACCCCACATCTCAACCCTAACCAAACCCTTCCTCTGCGGACTCTTTCTTCTTTTTCGCCCATAGTAGTAATCTAGAAGCAACATAAATCATATGTTCATAACATATGGCCAAATCTTCTCTTCTCCAATTGTTCCCAGCCATTTGATCAGTGGCGAATCCAGAATGTTGAGTCAGCACGGTCGGTTGTTGACCGTGGACCATCAACTGCAATAAAATATTAAGAGCTCGTTTGATGTTCTTTTTTGCAAAAAATACATTTTAGAATAGTGATTTAATGAATAACTTGTAGTTAAAAATAAGGAAGATTTTGAATTTGCATGAAATATTATTTTATTAGAAAATGTATGATTGAAAATAAGAGAAAGAGAAAGAAAAATTTATTCTAAAATAAATGAGAATCAAACAAGGCTTAAAATTTAAATAAAACAATTATTTTGTTGAAACTGAATATATATAATTATGTTATAAGAATAAATTGTACTCACCAAATGACATTGTCGCTTTGTATAATTCAAAAGAAGAGCACGGATTTGAAATTCGAATTTTGTACAATTGCATTAAAACCACTCAAATCTAATATATATTATTTTGTTAAGTTTAGTATCACAACAATTCAACAAGTGTCCTAGTGGTTAAGATTTCAATATTTCTAACAAAAAGCTCATAGGTTTGAATCCTCTCGTGTGCCTTCCTTATTATAACAATTTTGCTAACTAAAAATGTTGGTAGAATAAGTAGGTTGAAAAAAGTTTCGAACCTGGGACTTCAAGAATAGAGGAGCAAGCACTTACCAACTTGGCTAGAAGAAATGGTTATAATGAAGTCAACTTACCAGTAATATATCCTTAAACTCTATTCTCAACCAAAAAAAAAAAAAGAAAAAAAAAAAGAGGAAAAAAGCCTCCCAGCAAGGTGCTAGATCCGCCAGTGCGTTCGATCGTCAATCCATAGTCAGGCAAAACTTATAGGGAACAAATTTTCTCTTGTCCGGTCATCCCCAATCACCCAATCATTAATTCAGTGTCGGTCCTGACTATAAGCGGTAGGCAATCTTGCTGAAGGAGGGCCCAAAAAATTATTATTTTATATATATATATGATGCTACCAAAAATCGTACCTGCTGATTTTCCGAGCTTGATGACTTGTGAGGAGCACGAACGTGATCTTCCGATACCTGAAACAAAGGCAACGAGGTGTGTTCTCGTCGCCCCTCCGATGCTTAAGTCAGAAAGGGAAATATATGCGTGAGGCTATGTGCTGAAGAACAATGAGAAAACGTACCTGAATAATGGCCCAAGGTTCTGCTTTTATAGGAGTAGGTAGTGTACTCCTAGTAGGATTGTGTTGGTTGGATGTTTTTATCCAAGGGAATTTCTATTATAAAGAATGTCCTACTTGTAACGAAATTGTTTGACAAGTGGTGTTAGGGTTGATGTAGAATCCTTGGGTTTTTAGGTTTGTTAGTTAGGTACCCAGGCCTTAGGAGGAACGTTGGTGGTGTATGTCTCGAGGACTATTCTCGAGGACATTGACGGAATGTAAAAGTGTCCTCGAGGTATCTCGAGGACTACAATATCTCGAGGACTTAGATGACCTCGAGGACTGAAGAAGAGAAATGAGGTGGGGGTATGTATTGAGTCCTCGGGAATAAATGCCTCGGGTGTATCAATATTGGCATAGTCACTGGCCCCCGTGCACTCGTCCTAGAGATCGAGCTCTTAGGATGGGGTGCAAATGGGTTATGTCATTCCTCGAGCATTTGTCGAGAAGTGATGGCTGATGATATAGGTCGAGATATGACCGTTGCAGAGAGTGGCTTGGATTTGTGACACGTGT